CTGGCCGCGGGGAGCGCCGGGGGGCCGTCGGGCAGGCTGGACCCCGCACCCTTCCTCCTCTGATAGGGCTCCCCGTTCTCGCCTTTGTCTGGGGGTACAAAACACAGCCGGGTCAGCCGAGAGGGAGACAGACGGACAACTGGGCATCTCCCGCCTCCCCTCCCAGAAGGAAAAAGCAGAGAGAAGGAAAAACGCTGACCGAAGCAGGGCTGAAGGTGTGTTGCCCCCCCCCGCAGGCTTCGTTTCGGGTTAGGGTAGGGGGTTTCCCCCGACGCAGACCACAGAGCCCGCGGGTCAGGGAGACCCTGAGGCAAAGCAGAAGTTCATCCTCTGCCTCCTCCTCCTCCAGGGACCCGCTCCCGGCCCCGCACGGCTCCCCAGCATCACCCCCGCCTGCAGACCCAGAGTCCCAATCTGGCCGGGACGAGCTCTGGGGCCGGCGGCTGACGAGGATGAGGAGGACAGAGGTGCCGGGCAGCAGCCGCAGGGACCCGCAGCGACACCGTGTCCGTCTGTCCCCCCTCCGCAACCCCAAACCTGGCAGGTCTGCATCGCCCTCGCTGCTGAAGGAAAACCCCCAGTCACAAAACGAGTGCGCTGAGCTGTATTTAGCGACTATTTGTTCCGCTACCGAAAGATTCACTGCTGCCATTTGCTAAGACATCACCAGATAACCCCGGGCTCTCCCGGACCTCTGCTCCCAGCAGGACCATCACTATCAGCTCTGTTTCAACCAGTTATTTAAAAACATGCCCAAGCCCCAATTAGGGCTGTGAAGGGTGGAACGAGCGCCAGGCAGCACCGCAATAAAGCCGACGCGCGCCGAGCCCTTCGCCGCCCGCCTTTGGTGCGAAAAGGTGAAGGGAAGCCAAGAAACGAGGAGCACAAGTTCCCGAACCTCACACAGCAACAGCTACGGCTTCGTGTTAAAGATGATTTGACATTTCGACAAGACAATTCTCTCCCCCTGGATTCACAGAATTCTCTCTCCCGTCCCTTGGCCAACCCCCCCCCAAATTTTTTTTCGCAGAAGCAGCGTAAGGAGCCGTCTGAAACCGTTTTGACCGAACGCCAACTGCTCCCTCCGCCGTTTGGAGGCAGGACGATGCCCGACCGTCACGCTGAGCGTTGCACAGTGCGCGTTTCCAGCGCCAATTAACAACCGCGGCGCTAAGAGGGCTCATGCAAATTGACACAAGGGGTCACCTTGGGAAAGCGGGGGTGTCACCAACACTCCGCGGCTCGCCGTCTGTACCACAAATATGGACACGCAGAGGCATCCTGAAACGGTCCTCAACACCGCAGAAAATAAAACCAAGAATTTAATGTATTTTGGTACCGAAAAAACAGGGCAAAGAGTAAAACGCCGCTCGACAGCAGTGGGAGCAGGCGGCTCTGCAGCAGGTCCCCTCTTGCCACCCCCCGTGCTACGGGAGCATCCCCGCACGGCGCCACCAGGGCTGCAGACAGACCGCGACACCCATCACTCTCGTGATTTTCCCCAAAAGGCCACGGCCGCTCTGCAAACAGAGCAAGATGCCGCACAGATAAATATTGTCCTTGTCATTAGCCGTACGGAGCCAGACACTCTCTGTCCCCAAATCCTAGCCCAGTCAATAACGCGCAGTAACATTTGATGGCAGAGCTTCATTCCAGCCCGCGGGGACAAAGCTAAATATTTTTATTTTAAGCAATGGCAAGGACAACCAGATCCAGCGGAGCGGCTTGCCCAGTTCACCGCAGGAACGCCGGCGCGGCTGCACCGCGGCACGACAGACCCCCGGCAATGGGGCAGCCAAGGCTGAAGCCACTTACGGATGAAATTCCCTTCTTCTGCCAGACCACTGGATTACTTTAACTGCTTGGCACGCATCCCCCTGGCCCCGCAAACAGCCTTGTCCTCAGCTGCCCCGGCCACCGACGCTGACCCATGGACCTACACCCGGCTGGGTGGGTGGGTGGGAGGATGGGGTCAGGCACGCGGGGCTTTGTCGGTGCCATTTTGCGTTGTCCGGGGTTGTGTGCCATAGCGAACGAGGCAGGGGCTGGGGCGGTCTCCCGTTTTACAGCTTGCTTCAAACGTGCTTGTGAAAAGTCTTAATTTTCATCACGAGTTTTTTCAATAGGACAAGCAGACCGCTTGGGAGGAAAATAGAAAAAAAAATGATATTGTATTTAATCGAAGCCATAGCTGCACGCAGGGGCTGCATGGACCTGTAAGGACCACGAAGCCACCGGCCAGCTAGTCCCCCCCTTTTTGCTAAAACCAGCCGAAAACGGTCACACGCAGCTGCAATATCCACCCTCGCTTGGCCGCGCGCCTCCGAGGACAGCGGTGACAAAGGCCAGCGGGGATGCCACGGTGCCTGCGGGGGCGAGGAGAAAAACGGGGGGAAAACTGTGGGAAATAAACCGAATAGACGCAGCTTTTACAAGGGAAGCACAGAGGGTGGTTTAGATGGACAATTTGGAGGCAAAATTGCCTCTCATACAAATTACCGGTGCATTAGCAGAGGATAAAGGCAGCAACACCCAAACCAGGGAGAGAACCCCAGCCTAATTTTCCCAGTGGTGTCACACATAACAGCGAGACTACAAACCGCACATGGGTCAAGCGCTGTGTTTTGCTTCCAATTGCTGCGGAGAAAGGGGAAAAAAAAAAAGAAAAAAAAAGAAGAAGAAGAAAAAAAAGAGGATAATTACAGTGGAGTGATGATACCAGCTCACGGCGTCGGACACAGCACGGGAGGGGACTGCGCGGCTGTCACACAAAATGCAGCACCCAGAGCGCTCCCAGCTTGAAACGCCGCATCTTGCGCGGGCTGAGGGGAACAAAACAGTAATTACGGCTAAACACGGACTTGGCCGGGAATCAGGAAAGCCTCAATAGCAAATTGGAGTAGCGATAAGAGCAGAACAAGGGGTGGTTTTTAAAGAATAGCTGAGACAATCAGACAAGGGTACTTGCGAGAACGTTGCCAAGACAATTATGTGGCAAATAATTATCTGTGCCACATACGCGATTTTAAATCTTGTTCACAAAAAAGTCCTCTATATATTCTACTCAATTTATCATTATTGAATTTCTTAGTAAAGCTGTAGGGCAAAGATTCTGCCAAAAGTTTAATTACATATGTGCAGCCTGCTGCATTTTTCATATCCTCTGCAGCCAGCACGGGAAAAAGATAAATGGCTTTGAGTACGGCTTAAACTGCTGGTGAAATATAAAAACCAACTGGCTTCTTATCAGCATGTGAAATGGCTTTTTATTTTTGATTATTTCTTAATGAAAACTGTTTGCATTAGCCGTGAGCTCAGCTTTATTGCACTCGCAAGCGGTACACAAACAGATGATACACTATTTATTCTCTGTGCTCAAAAAACCCCTCTCTTTACTGCAGCACTTCAGCTCCTGAACTCAAACCAAAGCCTGTGGAGCTCTCTAGCTTTCCACATCTGCTTTACAGCCCTTCTCCTCCTCTCTAATCAGCTTTAGCTGTGCCTCTCTCCTCCTACAGCTCTCAAACGCTTCAAGCTCAACGTGCCCAGCCAGGCTGCAAGCCGGCCACGGGGCTACTTTACTCCCCCCTCAGCAAATTCTCTGTGCGAGGAGCCCACGCAATCCCTCTTAGGTGGCCTGAGACACATTTTGGTCTTAATTCAGCTGCAAACCCCCCACTTCCACCCCGGCCCCATGGCAGTGGGGAGCTCCAGTGTGTCCGGGGGAGAGATGGGCTGAGGGGGCTGGAGGGAGCCGGTCCCCCCCGGCGGAGGCACACTCTCCCAGGCAGCATCCCCTCATCTCCTTCAGCATCCCCCCATCTCCTTCAGCATCCCCACATCTCCTTCAGCATCCCTCTATCTCCTTCAACATCTCGCCATCTCCTTCAACATCCCTCCATCTCCTTCAACATCCCCCCATCTCCTTCAGCATCCCCACATCTCCTTCAGCATCTCCCCATCTCCTTCAGCATCCCTCCATCCCCTTCAGCATCCCTCCATCTCCCTCAACATCTCCCCATCTCCTTCAGCATCTCCCCATCTCCTTCAGCATCCC